TCTGTCCCAAGGTATGACTCCCACACATGGTATATGGGCACAGTTGATACCCTGGCCCATAGCCTCAAGTACTGTCTTCTACTATTTGGTACTGATACTGCATTCTTCTCTGCTTCTGCATATTCCATGATGACTAGGTCTCAGTGCTATGTGGTTGTTTGCAACAGGTTTGAAGACTTTGCACTTCTTGATGTTGAAAGCTCACCTCTTTGAATTACTATTCAGTGGTCCACAGAGTAGCAACTTACATTTTCAGCACCAACAATCTAACCAAATAATTGTTCTGTTCAGTCCACAATCATGAAATCACACTGGGCTCAGCACCGTCTTTCAAAATACATATGAACAGGGTTTTTAAATGTGACTCTAATGTATACTTTCATTACTTCACACTTGGTTAGCTGTGACTCCTTCTGTTCTGATGCGCCACCTACTTAAAACACTTACCACTTCTGACAACATTAAGTCTCTTCTTCTTTCAGTTAAATGAGGAAGAAAACAAGAATCAGCTTTCTGAAAGTGACAGTTAGTACTCTGATTCTGGTGCACCCAAACTTCACTTCCATAATTTGTATCATTTTTTGTTTTTATTTTTATTTTTTTGCTGTGTTTTGTATAATATATTTCTTGGAGTTTTCACCATCCCCTCCATCCCCCACACATCTCTTACTTCCACAAGTCTTACACAGTAAATTGTTTTCTGATAAATAACATTTTTTTTCCTGACCCCTATATTTTCAGTGGACATTTTTGTTGAAATCTGAACATTTGTACGTTTTGAAGTATATACACCTGAAGACATAACCTAGTCATAACTCCAGTCATCTGAAGAAGTGGGCTGTGCCCATGAACGCTCATGATACCGTCTAAATGTTTTGTTAGTCTATAAAGTGCTACCAGACCATTTGCTTTCTGTTTTTTCCTGGCAGAAAAACTCATGGCAAACTCTAACCTTTATGAAACATGGCTTTCCCTGAATTGATTTGATCTGAGTGGAAGAGACTGAAAACAGATAACTGTACTCTATGTTCATTTGGCATATGGCCCGTTTTCTTCTTGCAGTTTACAAGTGTCTAGCTTCTAAACAAGAGCTATTATTGAAGAGGTAATTAGGTAAATCTGTCTATTTGAGAACAGTATTATCTGAGGCAAAATTAAATATATACCAAAACACCAAGGGCTCAACATTTCTTGGCCCAAATATATAATTCCAAATCCTTTAGCCCAAGATCAGTGTCTGCGTCCCCCTCCCCCACACTCCAACTCTCTGCCCCTACCTGGATAAAAGTGAGTGAAGATGTGGGAGGGAGGATGGAGTGATCAGGGCAGGGTCTTGGGGAAGGGGCGGGAAGGAGACTGAGCAAGGGTGTTTGGGTTTGAGGTAGTAATTGCACTTAAATTAAAAAAGTGATCTCCAGCTTATAAAGGCTGGAGACCACTGACCTAAAGACAATAGAAGGAAATTAGCCTCATATGATCTTACCACTCTTTGATTTCTGAAGAGTCTGAAAGGAGTAGTTGCCTTCCACTGACAAAATGTTGTTTGTTCCTTCCCTTCTAAAGGATGAAAAAGGAATCCAGACATTTCCTGGCTTTTCCAGTTCCCACAGATGTCCTTTGGAGTGAGAGATAAAAAACATTGAGTAAACTATGGGCCAAATTTTTAAATGTATTTAGGCACCTAAATATGAAGGTTGATACCTAGTGGCATTTTAAGAACATCTCCCAACTGCTGTTTCTAGAAACATTTAGAGATGTACCATCTAGTCCAAGCAAATTGGGCAAGGAGTTGCAGCCAAGCTGAGAACACCCTGTATATATCAACATTTCAAGATCTCAACATTCATCTGAACAGCAGCCAAATGTTGGGACCTCTACATGTTTCTAATGCTTTGTTTGCCATTTTGGATTTGGAATCAAGTAGACAACTTGTTACATTGCTTTGTATCATTGTACCTCATTGTTCATTTACAATACAATGAATAAGCTGCATTAAAATGAGCTAATCCTACATTCTGAGCTTTGTGATGCCATGTTTCTGCCTCACGGCTTAGCAGTCAGACACTTTAAATTCACTCCCACCTTTTATACAGCTAAAGCTATTGAACTGCAGCTAGAAGGAATCAATCTGTGGTCTTAGAAGAAAAACCCTTTAGTGAAACAAAAGGCACTGGGGATGCTGAAGATTATGGAGCATAGCACAAAGATTATTAGTAAAGGTAATGACTTTTAAGCAGGATGTTGATTGAACTGTACGGTGTAAAAACAATTGGGATTCTCTATATAATTGCCTAGTGACCCAGATGGAAAACTAGTTCCATTCCTTTCTATCAAGTAAAGGTCAGGATACAGTTGAAGCCTTTCAGAAATCTTGATTGACATTAAAGCAATATAGTTAATGTGATGAAAGCAAGAGCACTGGATTTAACAATGTAAACAAAGCAAATGCTGCCTAATAACATGACATCAGACAGAGCTGATCATAGCTCTTCATCACTATCCTTGCTGTTTCTAGATCTATTGCTGTAGTGTCTAAATAATGTTCAGATTGGATGCATGTTTTAAGCAGCCTTCAAAATATTTTCAGTATAATTGACATGTTTGGAATTTCAAAGCTTTCTGCAATTTTCAAACAAGAAAAAAATTGGAATTAGGGCCACGTTATTTTTTGTTGATTTATTACTGCAGTACTTTGAAAGCATGGATACATGCATTCATATCAGTCATGGACTTTTCATACTGATAAAAAAAATCAGCATTCATGCCAAATCAAAAATCCCTCAACATAGCAACAACAACAACAAAAATTTAATACAAAGCATTCGGATGTAAATCAAGTTACTCTATGAAGAAGTTAATGCCCTTGAGTTCAATGTTGTTACTCTGGATTTACATCATTGCAACTGACACCAAAACCTTCTCCTGGGTATTCATTGCACTGAAAATATTCACTGGTGCAAAGTGACTATAACAGAACATTTTCAGAACTGGTTTTAAGATCCCAAGTTTCCCAATGGGATTTGGTTGGTCCACAACACACATGAAAATGAAGAATGAAAAAAAAATGTCTCTGCTTCATTGGGGAAATAATTCACAGAGCCTCATTGGGTCACTGCCAAGACTTTGTTACTGTTGCTTGATGGCATGAACTTCCCTAATGAAAATTGATTTTGTTTATGTCCACTCGTAATGGGTCTAACTTCCTGATTACAAGGCACTGACTGCTAGTAATTAATTATTATTTTATAATTTATTTACCCAAGAAAATTCCACTCAGTGCCAACATCTGTTTTCCATTGGGGTCCTGCTTTGATTTAATTGTATAGCTGAGCACAAGGAGGAACAAAGAAGCTGAATAAGTTGCTCAAGGTTACACAGACAGAAATGAGCCAAGTACAGTTCTTAGTTAGTCCTTTGCTTTAACCTCCGGAGTCTAGCTGTTCTCAGCTTTTAACAGCTTCTATTGAAGTCACAGAGACCCAAAATAATTTTTGGCCATATTGTTCTCTTGTGGGAGGACTCAGGAGAGCAGGATTTTTTTTTATTCCCTTCAGGGTTTTCCCTGCAAATTGCCTCCTAAAAGGGGAAAGTTTGGGACTTGCAGAGAGTGTAGAAAGTGATGGATCCAAGCACCAGCAATGTGACTTCAACATGGTCCACATTTTAACTGATATCTTTGCAGCAAAGGAAATTAAGGTTGTTTAAAGCAGCACTTGCTCTGACTTTGATTTCTGCCTGACTATATATGGACTCAGGGGTCTGTGTCCCCAGCACTTTGTGCCCCTGCCCTGTCTCCAGATCCTTGCAGAGCCTGTTCTGTGCAGCATACCCAATGAGTGGCCTGAGTGGAGGGATTGCGGATGGCATGTTGAAGCAGCAGCATGTTTTCCTACCTGCTCATTTAAATCATTGCTCACATTCCACGGAGCTGATCAGATCATTATGTCATTACTTCCCAAGGTTCAATTATGACAATGGAGTTGTGACATCATATCAAGTTGTCACATTTATGCAGTGTCAAAATATAATAGCAAATAGCATTGATATTATCTCTCCCCATCTGACTGAAGGAGAAATGTTTTCACTTGGGTCTTTGCTCTTTGACCTTTTGTAGAAGTGAGCATCTCAAATATCTCCTTCCTGGCTGCTGCAAGGACACTTTCTTCTCTTCCCTCTATCCTGGTTTCTGGAGAGGTCTAGGGTGTGACTTTTTTTTCTTATTTTCTCTCTCTCTTCCTTCCTTCCCTTCCCAGATCTATTTAGCGAAGTACACGGTCACGTTATCAGAGAATGGGTTTGGAAGGTAAGATACCAAGGTTCCTTAGGATATTTTTACATAGTAGCTACTTGGAAACTTAAAATCTTTCACAGACAGTGAAAAAGGAGGCAAGATGAGACAGGTTTCTAAACATCATAAAAGGTAACTTTATGAACCACAAAGTAGGACCAGCAACCTGAGGCAAAGCCATCGCAAGTACATTTATTTTGATTGCAAGAAATATATGGAGACAATGAGTATAACAGGAAACCAGAATGGGTGACTATAAGTTGTTTGGTCCACAGCACACATAAAAATGAATGAGTAGTGTGTTCAAAGAAGTACCAGGGTAAAAGATTTCAGGAATGCACATTAAGAGACAATTAAAACCTGGACAGCAAGGTGTGATGGCAGGAAGTATAAGAAAAAAATCAGCTGATGCTGTTTCATAAGAGGCAGTTCAAAGGTCAGTTAAAAATGACTGAAGAATTTTTGTATTGTATCTTAGAAAGGGAGAAACCATTGTAAGATTGGTACACATATTGCTGTCATGGGGTGACAATGCTGATGGTATGAGACAGAGACAACTGGTGACTGGAGGGAGGGGGCATGAGAAGGAAACCCAGTTAGTAATTAAAAATTGGGGAGGCTACAGGGTCGATCTCCCAAGCACTACTACAAGTTACTTCTTTGATGAGGAAAAAAACCCCAATGTGGAACCCTGTGGCACCTTAGAAACTAACAGATTTATTGGGGTATAAGCTTCTGTGGACAAAACCCACTTCATCAAATGAACTGCAGTGGAAATGTCTGTGAACCAGCCCTTGTGATCCATGAGGGCCTGCAGCATGATGGAAAAACACCCCATCCAATTTATATAGTTGGAGGCATGGTGGTCAGGCTTCAGGGTGGGGATGTAGGTGCTGTCCATATCTCCTCCCCCCCACAGCTGGGGAAGTCCATGGCAGTAAAGCCCATAATGATGGGGTCTGTGTTGCCCATAGGGTTGCCAGATACTTTCACAAAAAATCACAAACATGGTGGGGAAAATAATTGGTTGAGCAAAAAATAAATTTAAAAAAAAGTTCACTGCGCCTTGCCTTTAAATTCCCATGCTTACCGCTCCTCCCTCCCCTGCCAGGCCCGGCAGAGGAAAAATGTCCCCGCAGGCCTTCTGAGAAAAACAGAAAATACCAGACATTTTACATGTCCTATATTTTCTGTTTTTTTTTTATCAGACAGAAGATGCAATTACCGGACTGTCTGGGAGAAAACGAGACAGTTGGCAACCCTAGTTGCCCAGGGTGATGACCCTCCACAGAAGAATGGCATTGAGGGCCTTGACCACTTATAGAATCATAGAAACATAGACTCAGAGGATTTCAAGAGCGGGGGTCACCGAGTCCAAACCCCTTCCCAACAAAAGACCAACCCCAACTAAACCATCCCAATCAGGGCTTTGTTAATCCAGCATTGAAAAATCTCTAAGGATGGAGAGTCCACTATCTCCATAGGGAACCCATTCCAGTGCTTCACCACCCTCCTAGTAAAATAGTAATAGAGTCAAACCTGCATGAGCATGGCCCTGACCATCTATCTCCCCATGCTGAGTGGTAGCTGTTCCCAGTGGAGTGGTAGCTGTCCAGCATGGCAAGCTTCCAACATGCGATGGTGACTTGCTTCTGGAGAGGGATGGCGGGTCTCATGTTGGTGTCCCATTGCTGGAGGGCAGTGGCGAACCACTCGTACAGCTCTGGGAAGGTAACCTTTCGCATGCAGAAGTTCTGGAGCCACTGCTGGTCATCCCACCGCTGCATAACAATGAGGTCCCACCAGTTGGAGCTGGTGTCCTGGTGCCAGAAGCGGTATTACAGAGTGTGCAGGGGGAGGATGGAAGGGAATGTGGTGCATCATGAGCACCAAAGCCTGGGTGAGAATGTCCCCCAGTCCATGCTGGTCAATGTCCTTCTGCAGCACCACATGGGCAGTCATGGTGCAGCAGGAGGCCCAAGAGTCATTAACTGCTTTTGCAGCAGCTCTGGCTCCATGATGAGAGTTCTGTGGTGTCCACAAGGACAACCAGAGTGTGCAGCATGAGTTTGCTGTCCCTCAAAGGGGTAAGCAGTGTGGAAGAGGAGTGTGAGATGTAACTGTAGAGAACAGCCCCTTTAAGCACGAGTCTCAGCTAGCCTCAGGAAGCAACTACAGGAAGTGGCTGCTCTCCTGATGCCCTCTCTGGAGTGATTCCAGGGGCCTTTAAATGCAAATCAGGCTCCAATCAATGTGGATGCGCTATTTCGATATAATTCTGCACTATTTTGATGGTGTCTTGTAGTATGGATGCACTATTTCAAATGGTTATTTAAGGAGTTATTATTTCAAAATAACGTATTTTGAAATAATTTCCCACTGTAGACATAGCCTAAGGTGCCACAGGACTCCTCATTGTTTTTTGCAGATACAGAGTAACACGGCTACCCCTCTGAGATTCTTTGATGTTTAGGGTTTGGCATGGCAATAATAATGTATGTTATGACATAGATATTCAGGACTGTTTGTAACATCCTATAATTTAAGAATCTAGGGCTGCGTCTAGACTGGCAAGTTTTTCCGCAAAAGCAACTGCTTTTGCAGAAAAACTTGCCAGCTGTCTACACTGGCCACTTGAATTTCTGCAAGAACACTGACGATCTCATGTAAGATCGTTAGTGTTCTTGCGGAAATACTATGCTGCTCCTGTTCGGGCAAAAGCCCTCTTGCGCAAATGCTTTTGCGCAAGAGGACCATTGTAGACAACGCAGTATTGTTTTGTGCAAAAAAGCCCTGATCACGAAAATGGTGATCAGGGCTTTCTTGCGCAAAACCGCGTCTAGATTGACACGGACGCTTTTCCGCAAAAAGTGCTTTTGCGGAAAAGCATCCGTGCCAATCTAGACACTCTTTTCCGCAAATGCTTTTAACGGAAAAACTTTTCAGTTAAAAGCATTTGCGGAAAATTATGCCAGTCTAGACGTAGCCTGGGTGTTTTCTTAGCATTTAGCTAGTTAAAGGGTTATAGAAACAATGAATCAAACTTACATTCTGCCTGTGTATGAGTATGCTCTCACTATGACAGTCTGAGGGCTTGTTCTTAACTTAAGGCCTTTGGTTAAGCAGCAGCAGCAGCAGCAGCCATAAGCTGAGAAACATATGGTCATAGTCTCACACATCCCAAAACAGTCAGATTGTAACAATCTATCGCCTCCAGATATAGGGTATGTTGACACAGCAAAGTTATTTCAGAATAACAGCCCTTATTCTGAAATAACTTTCCTAGTGTCTACACAGCCAAACCTCTATTTAGAAATAAATTCAAAATAGTGGCGCACTTATTTCGAATTTGGTAAACCTCATTCTATAAGGAATAACGCCAAATTCAAAATAGCTATTTCGAAATAAGTGCTGTGTAGACACTTATTTCGAAATAGGGGGCCTCCAGCCTTCCCAGGGAGCCCTGGTGGCCACTCCAGCCTAAACAAGAACACTCCTTTCCCTCCCCCCCCTCCCCAGAGCCCTTAAAGGGGTAGACTGTGGCCACAGTGCCTGTGCCAGCTCCAAACCTGCCAGCCCAGAGCCAGCAGTCACTGCCCCTGACCCAGTGGCCCCAAAACATGATCCAGCAAGCCACTGGCAGCCAGCCCTCCACCGCTCCCCAGAAGCAGTCTGCCAGCTCCCAGGAGCCTGACAGGACCCAGGGTGGAGATCATGGACTTTATTCAGGTTTGGGGGGGATGCTCCCAGTATCCATGATCTCCGCACTAGATAGAGGAACGCAGCCATCTATGGTTGGATAGCTTCCAGCCTGGCCACCAAAGGCCACAAGCGAACCCAGGAGCCAGTTTGCATGAAAATCAAGTCAGTCCGGTGAGACCCCCCCCCAAACCTGAGCCCTGAGCTTCCCCTCCCCCTTCTTCCCCTTGCTTCCCCCTTCCAGCTCCCTCCTCCCAGGTTTCCCCCTCCCCTCTCTCACCCTCTCTTCTTCCATCTCCTGCCTCCTTTCCCCAGTCTCACCAGAGTTTCATTCCCTCCCCCCAGTTTTGTTAAATAAAGAAAGTTTGTGTTTATGAAAATATGTGTATTTTATTTGACAGCAGAAAGGGGGTTAGAGAGGGGTAAGTGGAAGGACGTGAAGGAGGAATGAGACACAAGCCCTACAGTGGGGAAGACCAGGGAGGCTCTTAGTGCTCCTCAGGGTGCAAGCTCTCCCGCAGGGCCTCCTGGGTACTGACAGCCCCCCAATAGATGTCCCGGATGGAAGCCTGCAGAAAGTGCAGCCAGGCTTGCAGCAACACGTCCAAGAGAAGCACCAGAGTGCCCAGGGGCAGCTCTGGCTCCATTTTTCAGAGTGCTGTGGCGTCCTGAGTGAGGGCAATCAAAGCATGCAGAGTCAAAATGCTTTGCTGTCCTTCATCAAGGTAGACAAGCAAACAGGGAAACCTGAGAACTGGCTGTCCAGTGGGTTCCCTTTAAGCACAGATCTCAGATAGCCGCAGGCAGCAGCACCACACAATAAGTCCTGACCTGGTGGCCTGCTAGAACTGATTCTGGCCAGCCTTAAATGCAATTCAGATTCCACTCAGTGTGGACACGCTATTTGGAAATAGCAAAATGCCATTTTGAAATGCATTTTGTGTGTAGACGCGTTATTTCGAAATAAGCTATTTCAAAATAACTATTTCGAAATAACACTGTAGTGTAGACATACCCATAGAGAAGAACCTAGCAGTTTTAAAGAAAACTTAGGTTGATAGCTTTCTGTCTGGTAAGGACCCACTTATCACTTATCACACGGCAAACTGGAAGTAAGATGGGGAAAAAATGGAAAAAACAACAACAATTGATTCATACTTCATGGATGCTAACCCCAATAAACAGTGAATTGTTTATATCTCCAGACTCCAGGTATTGCTGTTCTCTATTCATGTAAGGAGGATCAGGAAAGTGAGAAGATGAAGGGATAAATTCTCTAACATCTTGGTGTAGAAACTCAGATACATCACAGGGGACAGGTGAGTGGCAGTCTGTAAGTTCTGCTCCCATCTGTCCACATAGCTGGTTAGAGGGGGTTATTATGGCAGGCTCGTGATGGCAAGCCAGGGTAAAGGATTTTTTTGATAAGTGAATATAGAAGCCTCAGGGCCCATTCCAGGCATAGAGGTCAACCTGGGATGAGATTAAAAAGGAAATGGAGGCAGTTTTGGGGTCAGAGGAGGTCACAGTCCTTGGTACATGGGTGACAGAAGACGGTGCATGCCCAGTGGGACAGGATGCCTTCCAGGGAAACGAAACACTGCAGACTGCTGGTAAGAGGTCTAAAGTAGAGGCAGCACTGTGGGAAGCTGCTGGTGATCTTTCAAGTTTGGTGCTGGTTCAGCGAGGGCTGCTGAAGGATTGTGGATTGGGATCAGGGATGGTTAAAGATAATTTGGAACAAAAGGTTTTGGAGTCACTCCTCTACCAGGAAGATTGATGCTGTGGTGGTTGATCTTACAGAGTTCAATTTAGCCAGTCTAGTAAAGACCTGCTAAATTGAACACTGAGGGCTCCCCCATCGATACCTGTACTCATGAGAAGTTAGGAAAGTCGACAGGAATATTAACTCCTGGAGAACTCCTGCAGTGGAGATGGAGCCAAAGATCAAATTAAGGTACATCAACTCCAGCTATGCAATTAACATAACTGGAGTTGCGTGAACTCAACCATCCAGGGATGTAACAGTCCCCTTAAGTGACAGGAGCTAGGACTGGGTCATAGGGGAGTGGATGAAAAAAGTTTCAAAGTGTTTGGTAGGGTTTTCAGGAAAAAGTAATACTCCCCAACTATTCAACCCAGGGACCCTAGTCGTGGTTCAGAGGTAACTATATTCTCTTCTTCTTTTACTTAATTTGCTGTTGCTAGTCTGTATTTTAAACTGAGTTTCACAGGGTTAATTGGTTGTTTTTCATCTCTCTCTGTCCCCCAGCCCACATTCCACACTTTTGTTTTTCAGAAGTTTTAATGGAGGAGTACTTTGGATACTTATGTGATTATTTTGAACAAAACATGAGAGAAGTCTGCTGTATTTAATTGGCATTTTTGGAGTAAAAGATCTATGGACCATCATGAAGACAAATGTTTAGCTGCCTTTTTGAATAGTCTTAAGGAAAACACAGCAAAGGATAAGGCAGTTGTGTGGCAAAAATTGTACTTGGCCACTAAGTTGTTACAGGGGCGTATACTACATTAAAGAACTAAATGTAGGAGTGACTAGCTTAAAGAAAGTAAAGCATTACAAATAGTGTTGTTGAAATTAATACTACAGAATTTGGAGAAAAGTAAACATTTGGGAGATGTAGAAATGGTAAAAGGTAACAGCTGTAAAAATGTCAAATTGTGGGGTTGTAAAAAGGAAGTGTTTTGGTTCTATAACAGCCTAATTATATAAATGTAACTATATTTACAACTCTGCACAGTCACATTGCATGGAAGCTTGGTGGTTAAATTATACATGGAGTTCAGGCACAGTAGCCATTACCATAACTATTTTTTTGTCCCTAGAAACCTTTACAACTATTCTGAAGGAAAACGGGACTTTTTCTCAGAAAAATTTGTCCTGTAAAGGACTGCTGCAGGCAGTAAGCAGACTGAAGATCAATATCACCAAAGGAATGGGTTTCTGTTGGAACTTAACTTAACTGTCTCTTGTTGTACAAGATGCAAGTATAATCAAGGTACATTTGGGTAAAAAATAACAGCAGTGCAAGGGATCTTAGGCAAAAGAGAATTTTTTTGCAATTATGTAATGTTTTCAGGATCCAAACTGACACTTATAGTAAAACTTTTTTTTTCTAAGTTTAAGATGAATTGCTTTGGTTTTGATTTTTGATTTTTTTTCTTATTTTTAACTATGCCATTAAAATTCTTTTGAACCTTTCATTCAAAGTTGCAAAACTGACAAGTAACTTTCTGCCAGACACAGGTGACTAATATTGTTTGACTTTGGTATTAATAATTTAATCTTTAAGGGTATGTCTACACTACCCTGCTAGTTCGAACTAGCGGGGGTAATGTAGTCATCCACCGTTGCAAATGAAGCCCAGGATTTGAATTTCCCGGGCTTCATTTGCATGAAGCCGGCCGGCGCCATTTTTAAATGCCGGCTAGTTCAAACCCCGTACCACACGGCTACACGCCATCCCCAGCCATCGCTCCTCCTCCTGCCTCTGTTCCCCCTCCTGCTTCTTCCGCACCCCCCGTCCCTTC